CTTATTAATACTAATATTAGTAAGTAAATTTAGCTCTATTTTAGCTTACTAATTATATTAGCTAATAATAGCTTATAAATTTATTAATACTATATATTACACTAATTTTTAAAATGTAATGTAGTGTAGTAAAACTACACTACACTACACTACACTAAATTTCACTAAAAACTACAAAACTACACTACTTTCAATGCTCTGGCTAAGCTTAAAGAAGCTTAATAGATTAAGCTAATACTGCTCCCCTAGTTTAAGTTAAGCTTTATAAGGGCCTTAATTAAATAGTTAAGCTTATTAAAAGCCCTATATTAGTCGGTTGGGTTAGTCGGGTAGGTTAGTTAGGTTAGACCTTAATTAACGATAGCTTTAGAAGCTAGCAGCTAGGTTTAGAGGCTATAATAGCTATAGCCAAATTTAACGATAAGGATAAAGGTTATCCGAAAGGTTAGGTAGGTTAATTAGGTTAGACCTTAATTAATAATAGCTTTAAAAGCTAACAGCTAGGTTTAGGCTATAATAGCTATAGCTGAATTTAACGATAAAATAAAGGTTATCTAAAAAGACGCTACGCAGCTAGGCTCTATAACAGGTAGCTAAGAAGGTTACTACGTAGCTGGAAATAGTATTATACTATAACGAGTAGCTAAAGGGGTTACTACGTAGCTGGAAATAGCATTAGTTTATAATAGGTAGCTAAAGGTTATTTGGAAAGGCGCTACGTAGCTAGGCCTATAACGGGTAGCTAAAAAGGTTAGGTTAGTCTTAATATTTAGGGTCATTAATAGAAGGGTTAGTGCCTCTAAGAGGCCTCTTATAATATTATATATCGTGAGATAAACGCTCGGGTAAAACCACTATTTTTATGTAGGGAAAAACTATATATAAGATAAAGAATTATAAAAGACAGTTAAAATATTAGTTAAAATATTAGTTAAAATATTAGTTAAAATATTAGTTAAAATATTAGTTAAAATATTAGTTAAAATATTAGTTAAAATATTAGTTAAAATATTAGTTAAAATATTCTCTTATAAATTTATAAGAGTTAAAGATATATTTTATACTCTTAGCTTTTATAAATAAATATTATTAGGTATCTTAAGGTTTAATAGAATTTTATTTAAGTAAACTATTAAAATACTAGTTAAAATACTATAAATATAATAGCTATAAGGGCTAAGAAGGTTAAGGTTTTATTTTTCTAGAAAGGCTCTAAAAAGCTAGTTATATAATAATATAGCACGTAACATATCACGTGTGCACGTGACTAGAGGCCACGTTGTTAGCTAAGTCGAGCTGTGATGTACGGTTAAATTTCTCGCTGCGATATGCGGCCGAATTCCTCCACACAATGGTTAAAAATATAGGCTTTTAATCTTCATGCATCATGTGGCTCAAAAGTAGCATCAACTGGTATTCGGTTAGGCTACTACTCCTACTGTACGAATGCAATCCTCCATCACGTGTTGTGAACGCAGGGTAGTTGTCCAATGTTAACGCCAGCAAAAGGTTACACAGATCATTACCTTTACACACGACGTGGACAATCCTTTGCAAGGGATGACTAGTGCTTTACCCTGGTAACCATCTGACGCGTACAGCGGGATATGGGGCGCCAAGGTGACTACCTAGGTAGTTGATTTTACGGTATATCAGGCGCTAGGAGAAGTCGCTACAGTACATAAAAGCATATCGTAAACCTTTAGGCGCTATATACCCTAGCAACTGGGGAAGTGGACTGAGTAGCCTACGGTACCTAGCTTGGCGGGGGCTGGGAGTATTTGTACGGACGGCCCCACCTTTTTCCACCCCATGGCCCGCCCATGTTCCCCATTTCAAAACTTCGTAAATTGCAGCGCAAATCATCGGCGCAGGACAAGATCGGTTCCTATCCGCTCCAAAGCGCTTTCCTTCGTGATTGATAATTTCCCCAAGATAGCAGGTACGTTCGCACTGGCACATTCTTGACTTATTGTCAGCTACTAATGCTTCTGTCGCGCAGTTTCTACTTCTGACCCGCAGCCCATCGTCATCTCAGGACCTTCAGGGGTCGGCAAAAGTACGCTGTGTCAGATGCTTCAAGAAGCCCACCCGAATGTTTTCGCTACGACCGTTTCTCATACCACGCGCGAACGACGTCCCGGAGAGGTGGAAGGTCAATCATACTTTTACGTTTCTAGAGACAAATTCGAGTCCCTCATTCGCCAACACACCTTCGTAGAGCACACTGAGTTTAATGGCAATCTCTATGGTACTAGCAAGCAGACTGTTATTGATCAAACGGCGAAGGGCTCTACTGTGATACTCGACATTGAGATGGAAGGGGTGAAACAACTAAAGCAAGAACTCTTGAAACCCAACCCACCAATTCGACCCAGATTCGTCTTCATACAACCCCCGAGCTTCGAGGTTTTGGAGGAACGACTGCGTGGCCGCGGTACAGAAACCGAAAGCAGCATACAGAAGCGCTTGAATCAGGCTAAAGCGGAGTTGGAATACGCACAAACCGGCGCGCATGACATTATCATCACTAATCGAGACCTCACCGAAGCATTCAAGGAGCTGGAGAATTTCATTTTTACCACTGTGTAACTCGAACACATCGATTAGATTTTATGCGACGTCCGCCGAGAGGCCCGAGACGCACAACGTCACTGACTCACTGCTGCAGCATATGTCAAATCTAAATGTCCACCGAATCCAACATGTCCACACACGTCTCGGCTGAGCCGTGTTTGATATTAAGAGCTTATAATATAATTAATAAGTTATATTATAAGAGAGCTAAAAGAAGTAAAGAAGTTAATTATATATTAAAGGAAAAAGGCTAGCTAAAAAGTACTAGCGTAGTAATAGTAATATAATACCTTACACGTAACTATATAGGCCCTATAATAATAGTGCCTTACTTATGTAGGCCCTAACATTTACTCTAGGATCCTTATAAGGGGTCTCGGTAATCGCTGCGGAAAAACTGTGCACCCCAGCAGCATTTAATTGCAGTTTTGATTGGTTTGAACACGGAGTAAGTATATTGTGTGGCCAATACCGAGTTGCCCCTGGTATCTATCCTTAGGGAGAGTGTAGATAACCCGACTATTGCTCGCCTACCTGACCTAACCCGACCATTGTAATTGACCTGACCTAACCTGACCATTGCTATTACTATTTTAGGTGAAACATAGTGGAGTTATAGTGGAGCTTATAGTGGATATCCCCCCTGGGTTTAGCAGTTAGGGTTAGTTAGGTTGGGCATTAGGGTTAGGGTTAACTAAGGGATATGAATGACGAGTTAGGTAAGACCAGTGGTCAGGTCAGGTCAATTACAATGGTCGGGTCAGGTCAGGTAGGCGAGCAATGGTCGGGTGGTATGCATTCTCTTCCTTGGGCTTGATATGGTCCGTCTGTGCGAGGCCACAGTGTGAGAGAGAGCCAATATGTGCATACCTATAAGCTTGATATCGGAGTTATTTCGTCAAAGACCGCTATTGCTGGCAAATCTTTGCTCTCTGGCTCAGTGGGTACCCCAGTAACCACTCTGAAATTGTCCCGCTTCACCACACACAGCTAGCCAGTGCATCATCTATCCATCTATACCTGGCCTGCCTTTCCTACAAGACCCTGATGTCAACGAGCAAGTTGCCCTAGGGACAGGCAAAGCGGAGAGAGCTAGAGCCTGTAATTTATCCCCTCTAAGGGCCCTTCGGGGATCCTTGGAGGATCCTTCCAGGACCCTGCCGGGGGCCGCCTGCAGCGAGCTCTGGTCTGCGGCCGGCTCGGACATCAATAACATCACATATACGAGGTTCATGATGTATGTACACGTGAATAGCGTAAGCTACTTTTTTATCAGTTAATAGCTAAATATTATTTTACTTATAATAAATTAAATACTTGAGAATACTCCTATTATATTAGATTAAAGAGGTGAAGCGAGAAGCTACAGCTAGTTTTATTGCTTGTTAACGTGCCCTTTAATTACTCCACGTCGGCCACGAATTTTAATCCCGCTTTGCCTAGTTACTCGTCTTGAGATCGCATCACTCGTCAAGTCCATCTTTTCGGCAAACGAGATATTCCTTGGCATTATATTAACATTGAATAGGACGTTTCACGTGGATGCAAGGTCCTTGAATCAGAGTCAATCATTTGAACGCACATTATAACCGTGCTCTTAAGTCGCCGATCCTTGACCAAATTTTGGGGGTCTCTCAGGCATTTCCTGTCATGCACCGCCTCAATACACATGTAGGTGAAAGCATAAATACGAAGCAAGCTGCCTATCTATAGCGTTGCGTTACGATTCATCTGTATCATATACTTTATTCTCCAAGAATATCACTAGCTGTCCTGACTCCCATCTTTACAATGGCACGCAATGTTGATATTATACTAGCCCTCGCGTTTTCTGCTCTTTGAGCAACGGCAGCAACTATCAAAAAGAGGACTGCGGGCGGAGAAGATGCCAAGGATGGTGAAGTTTCCTTCATTATTAGCCTCTAGTGACAGCGCGGTGACTATTAATACGGAGGCGCTTTGTTGGACAGCACTACTGTTGTTGCTACTGCGTATTGTGTTGGGGGAACCCCTACTCGATAAAGGCAGGAACAGCGGCAAGTCTACTCAACTCTCCTCCTATTAGGGGCCCGTTAATAAGCCGCATAAAGCTAACAACGTAGAATGTATCAACGGGTGGCATAACTTGCAAAGGTTACCTCTCGCCATATACACCCTCATTACGTTCTTGGTAACGCCGGGAGTTCTTATACTGTCAATGACATCGGTATCTTGAGGTTAGCAACTCCGGATGAGAAGAGAAAGACGTTTGGATATGCGGTACTGCCGGAGAACGGCATATTATCACCCCTAAGTAGAACGGTTTAGAATATCGGGTGCTGGCGTGGTACAATCAAACTCCTTCTTGCAGTCGTCTACCAGTTTTCTCTTCTCGTCCCACTGCTCCCGGGGGGCCTCAACCGGGAAAAGGTCTTCGTTGCAAATCGCACGACCCAAGTCCGCCGAGGCGGTGGTGGAATTGCATTTAACGCTTGTTTCCCGGACATAGTAGCAGAACGCACCCCGAGATTACAAGGGTCCCAAGGGAGACGCTACCATGTTCTTGCAAATCATATTGTGATCCGCCGAAATAGAAGTTACAAGATTACTCAATGTCTGCATTTGCTCATCGCGTTAGGATATACAGATGAAACGAAATACGGCCCTGCTTCCTGGTTATGCTTGTTATACGAGTACTTGCATCTCCGTCCCTGTTTAGGATTCTGCGGGCCACGCACTGCCGAACTCTGTCCGGCGCGGCATTCTTGTCCGCATTACCCTTGGTAGAGGTAGCGTCATCCATGACGCACCAATTTGTGTTGGAGTGGCATGTCTCGCGTGTCACGTCGAGGTTGTCGCAAATACTCAGAAAGTCAGTTGAGGGCTGTAACAGGGTTAGCTAGCTAGTTACTGTGCAGTTTTTGTCTTGTATACTTGGCAACTACTACACACGTTTCCAGTCCTAGGACTAAAAGTGCAGAGAGTAATATCGTCCTGTGCAACCTGGTCCAAGAGCTGAGACTTCTTCAACTGCTTGTCAATGCATTTTTGTGCGTCAGATCGGCACCTCTCATCGAGCTTTGTCGGTGAATTGTGTCGTCCAGTCTCAAACCAGTCGCATATTTTCTCAGGGGTCACCTTGTTCTGTGAGGACCATGTTATCGATTGCCTTTTGATATTGTATATGGCGTTGTTTAGGGCATCGCTTTCTGACAGCTACTAACATTTTCTTGTCGGGCTGTGAGGACTGAGCGGGCACTGCTTATGCCAGCAAATACCGCGATAACGGTGCGGTATCACGTGAACGCGTTATACAATCATAGAACTAACTTTTTAAAGCCTTCCTAGAAGAATAGAACCTCAACCTTCTTGGCCCTCGTGGCTGTTGCGTTCACCGATATTTTTATCGTCTTTTATAATATATTTACCATGTTCTACGATCTGTTACCTTGTGTGTGGTTTTTCCTAGCATAAACTCTTAAGTTATCTTACACTCTGTTATAAGTATTATATATTTATAATAATGATAAATCTTAAAATATAAAATTTAATAATTAAAAAATATATTTCATATAATTAATTTTTTTTAAAAAGAACTTGCTTCTAGCAAACCGCCGAGCAGTCTCTCTTATAATTGAGATTAGACCGTATCAACCAACACATTCAGCAAGTAGAGCGGCCGGGTTTACAACAAGTAACGAGCTTTTTGCACGTCGACTAACTTCAGGCCAACCCTTTGCGCTCAATACCGACATGCAAGATAAGAGCAATGAAGCAAGAGAAAAGCTACAAGTGACTTCCTCACACAGAGAATAAGAAGAGGTGAATCACGTGTGCGCAGCCGTGAATCGATTGACAACATCGACCGCCGGTAGGTTTCGTGACAGCCCCCACGACGACGGCGACCGCTGGATCCATTAGTGAAGAAGAGCCAGGCATTTATCCGATACCGTTCCCGATGTCCACGTGCTCGGTTATGCCCATCGTCAACGGAACACGGAGCGCAAATGTCAGCATCCCGGTCGAGACTTCCACAACCGGTGAATAAAGTGGGTCTCGTGTGCCGTGCCGCTCGGCGCCCGCTTTCTGGTGCCCGCGGAGCCCGAAGCGGTGGCCCGCCGCCCATCCCCGCGACAAACCCCAGCTTTCTTTCAGATCGTGTGCCGCCGTGGTCGGCGTCATCTGGGGTATTGGGGTATTGGGGTATTGGGGGCTGGCGTCGCCTAGGATGAAGGGGGTGGACTTGGAATACGTGGGCTTGGGCTTGATATACACCTGGCTCCGGGTGAAGATTACGACATTTCCCGCCGTGGAATGATGGAGATGGCTGAGAGAGTTGTGTACGCGCCACCTGAGCCAGTTCAGCATCCAGCTGTGCTTTGGAGCCACGGTCATGGACGGGATATCGAATCACGACTCGGCATTCCCCCAAGCTGTGCTGTCGAGTTAAAAGGAAAAAAAGAACAAAAAAAGGGAAGCACCCGCCTCTAACACCTTGCCATGAGCTGCAAAAGTCAATGAATGTGCCACGGAACCCGAGGGGCCACCTTGAAAAAATGGGGAGCTTCCCCCGGTCACGGCATCGACTACCACGGAACCTCTGAGTGGTTTTTTTTCCTCCCTCTTTTCTTCTGGTCTGTATTTAACACTCTTCTCAACTTTCTTTCAATTTATGCCCTCGCGCTGCCGATGCTCTCTCGACTGGCCAGAAGGTTGAGCACCACCACATACCAAGGCAAAACCTCACATCTACGCACCTGCATCCGCACCATGGCCCTCCAGGTGCAGCTCAAAGCTCCCAACGGGGTGGAATTCACCCTGCCCACGGGTCTCTTTATCAACAATGAGTTCGTCAAGTCGACCTCATCGCAGCGCATCACGAGCATCAGCCCAAGGTAACCAAGGTCCGCTCGAAAGCCAAGCACCCCCAACTCACATTCTCCAGCACCGGCCAAGAAATCTGCTCCGTGGAAGCGGCCTCGGCGCAAGACGTTGACCGCGCCGTCGCGGCCGCCCGCGCCGCCTTCAACAGCCCG